TGAATAAACCTCAGACTGCAGTCAGTCTGAGAAACTTGTCAGTTTTTATTTTTTTGAATATAAAATGACTTTCATCAGTTTTAACAAAAAAAAACCACTTTTTTCATTTGTCAGAATGAAATGTTGAATTATGTGATTAAAATAAAAAGTTAAATGTTTCTTCAGATTTATCAGAAGATGAAGCGGGAGATCCTGCAGGATGAAGAAGCTGCAGCTTCACGCGCATCAGAACTGGCCCGGATTCATGGAGCAACAGCGACACCTGCCGGACATTTTACTGTATCACCCGCCAACACTGTGTCTGTCAGCAAAATATCTCAGAAACCACAAGACGAACTTTAATGAAACTCTCAGGAATTAATAATTTGATTAAAATCTACAATTCTTTAATTTTAGGACTCAACTCGAATAAAATAAAATATAATAAATTCATCAACACCGTCCAGTGTTTATTAAAGCAGCTCATGTTGTCATCATGATTCAATTTAATGGAGTTTAGACTTAAATTAATATTTTCTGGGTTCATGTTACAAAACTCTACCACGATTTAGAAGCTGAACCTTTTGGGAACCAAATGATCCAGAATAATTGTTCCTAAATGTTTTAGCTTCTGACTCACAAGACAACAATTGCAGAAAAGTGATGGCAATTATCTTTAATTAAAGTTTGAAAACATTACAACACGTTTTATGTAGCGCTAAGTTGTATTTTCATAACAGGGATGGTAAAAAAGCTATTATTTATCATTTAAAAGTTTTTTTTTTCTGTATATCATCTGAAGACCCAAACCCTATTGGACCCTAATTTTTACCTTTTTTTATTCAACCTTTATTTATACAGCCTCACTGAGCCATGGGGATTAATTTACAAGAGGGACCTGTTCCAGACAGAACATATAAAGTACAGACAACAAAACAGTAAACAATGACAACAATAAACTACAGTAAAAAAAAGTTAAAATAGGAGTAGTGTACAAAACAATAAATCAGGGTGTCATCAAACAGGGTGAAATGTTAAAAACAAGAACATATTTGCTTTGATTTTTTCATTGGTCCTTTGGTCAGCTGGTCCAGTTGTGACCCAAAGAACCGTGCAGAAGTTGGTCTGAGGAGAACTGAAATGGGTGTGCTGCTGATGGTACCAGAACCGAGCCTCTCTCTGTGTCAGACTCCTGTCGAGTTGGGCTGAGGAGGTACAGGAACCCTACAAATTGTTTTCCGGGTCTGCAGCACCCGTGGACGGAAAAAAAACTGTCATCGTAAACTTTTTGCCGTATTAAATAAACTGAACTAGATTTATTGAAAACTGCAGAGGAAGCTGTAGTTTAGCCTCCGTCCATTGGGGGCACTGCTGTCACTCATCACATGCTTAGCCACATCTGCGCATGCGCACTTGTTCTATTCACGGCAGCATGGCGGCGAGTTGTTTGCGTTGATGAAATCAGGAGTGAAATCAGGGCTGATCTTACTGATCTGAGATCAGAGAGGGATGGAAGGTGTCCAGGAGCGACTGGCCCACTTTTCATACGAGGCTCACGGTGAGACACCGGAAGTGCTTCGGTACCGGATTTAAAACGGACACCTCAATGTTCTGTATCTTTTGCGTGTTGTGCTCAGTCTGTTGATCGATCAGTGCGCCGGTTTTTCCAGATCTTTACCTAAACAGGTCGGTGCCGTATTTGAACGGAGCTCCGGAGCCGCTCCGGTTCTACCGGGACTGGATCGGAGCGAACAAGCCCTGCATCATCCGGGACGCCTTCAGCCACTGGCCGGCCCTGTCCAGGTGGACTCCGGACTACCTCAGGTCTGTTGAGCAAGCTCTGGGACATTTTAACAAAAATAATAATGTTTATTTACCCAAAACAAAAACTTTCTCAGATAGAATTGATTCAGAACCAAAGCTGTAAATGAAGCACGAAGATTTTAGAGTCTGTAACACATGGACCATGGTTCTGGTTCTCCACGCTGTCCCACACGATTCGTGCTCTGTCTGCAGGGAGAAGATGGGGTCAAAGGTCATCAGCGTTGCCGTGACCCCTAACGGTTATGCCGACGCTGTGGCAGGAGATCGTTTTGTGATGCCGGAGGAGCGGCGGATGAGTGTTTCCTCTGTGTTGGACATCATTGAAGGAAAGGTGAGCCGGAGCAGGAGAACCGCTGCCTGGGTGGGCCGGTCCTCGTGGTTCTGACTCCCTGTTGGACTGGACCTTTCAGGTGCAGAAAACTGGAGTCTTCTATGTCCAGAAGCAGTGCTCCAACCTGCTGCAGGAGCTGCCCGAGCTCATCGACGACCTGGAGCCTCACATTCCCTGGATGAGCACGGCGCTGGGTGAGTGGACCAGCTCACTGGATCGGTTTGAATACTGTCGTCATCTGTGTGTCCATAAGAACCTCAGGGAGCAGAACCATTCCTTGAAGGTTCTGCATGATGTCATCAGAACCGTTATTCTAACTAATCAGGACCGTCTTTGGATCAACGGGTCACACTTTGTGTTCTTCCTACAGGAAAGTTGCCGGACGCCGTCAATTTTTGGCTCGGAGAAGCAAAGGCCGTCACATCCAGTACGACCTCAGCTTCACTCACACGACTTCATTAAAGGCTGCGTATAAAAGTTAATAAAGTGTGCTTTTAATGTGAAAAACCCGAGACGCGATACAAGGCAAGAGGCATGTTTACTTATACAAACAGGTGTCCACTTGATCCTTTAAAAAGATCAGAATAAAAATGTTTATTTTATTTATTTATTTATTTATTTTTCATTTCAACCTTCCAGACTCAAAAAAAAAAAAGAAAACTTCAGTTATGACTGTATTTATATAAAATAAGTTTTTATTTTTGTAAAACGATTAAACATCCTGTTTTCCTTCCAGTGCACAAAGACCCATATGAGAACCTGTACTGCGTCGTCTCTGGAGAGAAACACTTCGTCCTGCTTCCGCCCACTGACCGACCCTTCATCCCCTACGGTAACCATGACAACCAGTCTGCAACACCCTCAGTAACCATAGCAACCAGTCCACATCAGTTTCTGTAACCGTCAAGCAGTTTGCATCATTTTTGGTAACTACGGCGACCAGCTTTCATTACTCTTGGTAACCATAGCGACCAGACAACGTTGTTCTTAATAACCACAACAACCAGGTCCCATCACTCCCTGTAACTGTCAAACAGTTCGCATCACTGTCTGTAACTATGGTGACCCTGCCCCTATCTCTGTCATCTTAGTAACCGTGGCAACAAGCCCATTCTGTTTTTAATAACCGCGGCTCCCTCACAGTCAGCAGCTGTGGTGACCGGTCTGCAACTGCAGCAACCAGCTCCCATCTCAGTCTGCATCAGTTCATATCTTTCTCAGCAACCGCAACAAACAGTTCCGTCACTGTCGGTAACCTTGGCAACCAGTCCACATCACTCCTGGTAACCAAGTCAACCAGCTCCCATTACACACTATGACCGTAGCAACTAGCCCACATTGCTTAAAAAAAAACTAAAAACTTATCTTGGTATCAGTGCAGTGCGCCTCACTTTCAGTAACCGTGACGACCAGTCTGTTTTCCTCTGCTGTCCTCACCAGGTGATGAGGTTCTGCAGGGACCTGGTAATGACCCGTTTGTTTAAATCAGGTGTGGTGAAGCAGAAAACAAACAGATTTTCCTGCCTTGGTAACGATCCACCTGATTTAACCGTAGTGCCCGTCTCTTGCAGTAACCATGGTAACCGTCTCTGTCAGGTGTGTACCAGCCAGCTGTTTACCACCAGCAGGACGACGATGAGTTCAAGGTCCTCGATCAGAGAGACTCTCAGAAGGTGCGTTCAGGTACACGTCTTATGATCTCAGCAATGTAAAGACACTGGAGTCCACCTGAACCCCCACCTCTCACACTCTCAGGTTCCTTGGATCCCGTTGGACCCCCTGGATCCAGACTTGGAGCGATACCCTGAGTACCAGCAGGCTCAGCCACTCAGGTGCAGTGTGAAGGCTGGAGAGATGCTCTACCTGCCATCTCTGTGGTTCCACCATGTCCAACAGTCACATGGCTGCATCGCAGGTACAACCCCCTCCCATTAGGACAGGGACGACCCGTTCAGAGCTCTGCTCACCTGTAGTCCCATTAGAACAGACCTGGACCACCTTTACGTTCAGAAACGAGTCTGTGTGTCCTCTGATCTCCGTCGCAGTGAACTTCTGGTACGACATGGAGTACGACATCAAGTACAACTACTTCCAGCTGCTGGAGTCGTTGTGTGACGTGAAGGGATGAAGCAGGAAGTTGTCGGCGGCTGCAGGAAGTCTCCGAGACGTTCGCGTGTCGGCTGAGCCTTAACCCAAAGAAACAGACACAAAGAACTCAAACTTTTAAAAAATAAGCACCTGAAGAAAATTGTCTGAAGTGTGTTTATATTTTTAAGTCAAGAAAATGTCTCATTTGTTTATGTAGAGGGGCGGAGCTTTAAAATGTTTCTAGAAACAGCCACAGAGGGAGCGCTGGCTCTCCATGGCTTCAACTTCCAGCTTCTGTTCCTGTCTCTAGTATTAACACCTTTTTATAGTACTCTTCATAGAACACAGCGCCCCCTGGTGTGTGGAGTCTGAGCAGCTTTCACAACCGTTTAAAACAAAAATGAGGCTTTAAGAACGTATTTGCTGCTATGAGTTTGCAGTTAATTAAAGTATTTCATTAAATAATTTTGCAAACTTCTCATGTTTAATTGGAAACAGAAGCTTCACTGCAGGATGTTTCTCAGGGGTAAAAAAATATCTACTGGTAATCATGTTTTTGCTGCCAGGAGTTGGTGTGAAAACAGCTGAATACCTGCTGAAATCTGTTTTTAAAAAAAGAAGCTGAAAATGAATTATTAAAGTTAACATAATTAGACCAGAGCTAAAATTATTGAATATAGCTAATACACAAAACCAGCAAAATAATAGCTGAAAGCTTGAACCCGTAAAGCTAAAAATAGAAGCTAAATATTTTCAGAACACTAGCTACAATATAGATCAACAAACTAGAAGCTGAAAGCTAAAGTTAATAACAGAATCTAAAAGCTAAAACCAACAATACAGTAGCCAAAAGCTAGAATTATCAAAACAGTAAAAGTTAAAACCAACAAAACTAGCTAAAACTTCAAAAACGGAAACAAAGCTAAAACCAAAAACAGTTGCTATATGCTAGAATTAACAACATTGTAGCTAAAGGCTATAAACAGTATCAAAAGCTAAAACCAACACAATTTTAGCTAAAATAAACCTAAACCTAACAAAACAGTAGCTAAAAGCTAACACAAAAATAGTCATTAAAAGCTAAAACTATCTAAACAGCTAAAAGCTAATACAAAACAGTAGCTATAACTAAAACTAGCTAAACTGAAGCTAAAGGCTACATACAAGAGCTAAAGGTAAAATTTGCAGAATAGCGTAAACCTAAAATCAACAAAACTAGCTTAAACCAGGAAAATGGTAACTAAAAGCTAAAACCAAAAACAGTGGCTAAAAGGTAAAACTAGCTAGGCAGTAGCTAAAATCTAGGTTAATCAAAACAGTAGCTATAAGCTTAGACGAGCAGAACTAGCTGAAGGCTAAAACAGTAAATCAAAAATTTTCAGCATAGTAGCTTAAAGCTAAACTCGGGAAACACAGCTAAAGTTAGCAAAAACGGAAAAAGTAAAAATTATGACAAATTTTAAAAAGCTATTTTGTTTAGATTTATGGTTTTCCTTTTTTCAAAAATAAATAAATGTTAAAATAGTATAAAAGTAACTAAAAGCTCAAGTCCCAGCTGTGATGTCCTGAACGAGCTGAACTTGTACAAATGGTAGAAATAGTTAAAGTTCACTGAAGTCCAAAGAAATGTTCAGAAGAAACTAAACAGGAAAACATGAGTTTGAACTCTGAACTCGCATGACTATTACTATACGAGCTAAAAATCAACACGAACCTCAGCTGAACCTTTCTGAACATCTGGCCCAGAGTTGGTCCCTCAGCTGATCCTCACATCAAACTACTGATGAAGATGAAGATTAGTCCAACATCGGAGCACCAAAGAAGGCTGCTCACAGCATCATCAGCTGTTTTTTATTTAATACCTCCCTGCAGTGTTTGTGCAGGTAGCTCTGTCGTCCTGCACCTGGATTTACAGAGCTGACCATTTATTGTTAAAAATAATTTTAAAATCTGTTTTCAAAGTGTTTTATAGAGTAAAAGGGTTACAAACGTAAAAAGACGAACTAAAAGAAAGCAACAAGGAAAACAAATGTTCAGTTTGAAGAGATTTATGATGGTTTGAGTCATGTTTAAGGTTTTTGTTTAAGATAATGCAAACTTAAAAACACTTATTTAATATTTTAAAATGAAAAAATGTCAGGATTTTACTTTTAACGACTTTTTTTCTGATAAAAATAACTAGAATACAGTAATTCATGACAGTCCCACTGTATTTTATTAGACTTTGGAGGCTTGTTCTTGCGCCCTCTGGTGGTCACAGACTGCAGCCCTTGTGTGGTCACGTGTTTTCCTGTAAACAACGAGTGGGCGGGGCTCCGTGACGTAGAGGAGCAGAAGGAACTTTTCAGAGAAGGTTACACGGAGTTCAACTCTACATCAGAGCAGGAGGTCAGAACAGTGCGGAGAACAAGGTGAGTGTGCGACATGTTTCTTCTTCTGCTGTTATTCTGTCAATCATCTGTTCAGCACGAGGCTGGAGGACTAAACTGGAGTTAACTCCATTTTATGCACGAATAACGGAATTATGGAGGACGCGAGGACCCCCGCCCTCCAGTAAGATAAAAACAGGGCTGCGCTTTATTCCATATTTTCTTAATTATACCAATTTTATTTTTCATGTTTTAGTCTGGAACCCCTTGAAGTTTGGTCCACGCGCACCTTGAGTGTTATTAAATCTGGCGTGCGTCCAGCAACGTTTTAATGGGGGGGGCACGTGGGGGCCACTTGATTGGGGTGACGCCAAAACCCAGAACGGAAGTTCAGAAACTTTGATGCTGTTGTTGTAAAATGCTGATTTTAAAACTTTGTATGACTGTAGAGGGATTTCGAACGGATGGAGCTCAGGTTTTATTTTTATTTATTTTTTTATTTCATTTTCCAGGTGATGTTGTTTCTGTGATGTTCACAGAACGGAACGGAAACATCTGGAGTTCCACTACAGTCCAGTTTAATGTGCTTAATAGAAATATGCCACAAACTGTCCTTACATCAGGCTTCTTGTCCTTTTCCCAAAAAATAAACAAATAAAAAGTTGAGCGTACATTGTTAACTTGAAGAAAACATTTACTAAAAACTATTTTGCTCAAGTTTAAAGCCACCACTTTTAATTATTTAGAAACATTTAATTTGTTTAATGCTGCGTACTTATATAAGCATATCTTCTATATTTGGATTGACATTTATTATGATTGAAATTATTTTATTTAATGGTTAAAGAAAACGGATCGCTTTACTCAAAGCAGTTTTCTTCAGATCACAGCAACAGACTGTTAACACGACGCAGAACCGAGTCCAAACCTCTCATCCTCATGTTCTTCACAGAACGTCAGCCTCCCACACCGTCTCAGACCATAAACAAGTCCGTGTAGAAGTTTTATCAGACATTTTGTTGGTAGAAAAAAAAAAAAAAAAAAACACTCAAACTGGAACAGTGTGAGCCAGAACTTTGCTCTAGTGGTACGTCTCTCAGACGTTACTGGACACTGTCTTCAAGGACACTGATACGGCATTAAACTAAATCTACATTAAACTAAATCTACATTAAACTAAATCTACATTAAACTAAATCTACATTAAACTAAATCTACATTAAACTAAATCTACATTAAACTAAATCTACATTAAATCTAAATCTACATTAAACTAAATCTACATTAAATCTAAATCTACTACCAATGATTTTAAAATTCTGCTGCTAACCTTTAAGTGCCTTAATGGCCTTGCACCCTCATATCTCTCTTACTGGAACCATATGTTCCCTCTCGGGCCCTGAGCTCATCTGATCAGCTGCTTTTGGCTGTTCCAAAAACAAGAGTGAAGCTCAGAGCAGGCCTGTCACAATAAACAATTAATCAATTAATCGCATGATAAATGAAAATGATCAACCTCATTTTCATTTATCGTTTCTTCGTGTCTCTTTCTACTGAAGACCCTGGATGACAAAAGACTCAGCTCGGTGCTCTTCAGTGATCCCTCCCTTTCTCTTTAAAATCCATTTTAACATCCAAAATCGTGTTTTTTGGATCTTTTCTTGGGATCTGTCTTGTCGAAGCTACAAAATTTACAGTTGAAAGCCGTGCCTTCATATAAAAAGTTGTTTTTCTCTGAAAAAAAGAAGCTGAGAACTTGTTTACTGATTTTTTTTATTAAAAGCTTTGTGTGAAAAATGCTATGCTAAAGAGCTCAAATCACACAGAGCAGCCGCCATTTTGAGAATCAAAAACAAGGAAGGAGAGACAGCCCATGTCACGTCAAGGGGCCTCCCTCCCATTTTTCTTAAAGAGACGCGCTGCTCGCTCCCTCACTATCCATCCTTCAGTTCAAACAGCCTTTCACTGCCATCTGGTGGTCGAAAACAGGTACTACACACAAAACAAATTAACCAACATTTGTTCTTAAATTTGACAATACTAATTATTGTCAAATTTCAAACAATATTGTCATTTATCGCAATAAATTCTGAGACAATTAATCGCCCAGGAAAATTTGTTATCGTGACTCGTCTCATACTATTCATGATAATTCTCTGCTAATAATGCTAATTCTAAGACTGACATCAATAATTCCAATTTTCCTGTTGCTAATTTCAGCATTTATAATTTTAGGCAAAAGCTAATGTTTTGCTGAGTTTAGCTAGCATTTTACAACTTTTAGCTTTTAGTTAGTGGTTTGCTACATTTAGCTTTCAGCTCAGTTTCAGCTTCTTAAGCAAAGTCGTTCAGAATTCAGCGCTCACGCTGGATTTCTGCAGAAACTGTTCGGTCTCCAGTTATTACCTGTTGAACTACAACATGAGTGAAGTTTGGTTCTGCAGAGCTGCTCCTTCCGTCTACTTCGGCATTGGATTGGAGGGAAAGGCCGAATCATTTCCTATCCAAAGTTTAGGTTATGTGAATTATCAGAACAAATGATCAGATAAACAGGAAACTGTTTTTCAAGTTAAAAAGAGCGATATCCGAATTAAACCTGCAGCTTTTCTCGTCCTGCTGAAACGACTCGACCGTGATTCCTTGGTTCCGTTTTGTCTCGGTTCCACCACAACACGTTCTCCTGATCCTCAGAACCTCACCGTCTGTAGTTTATGATAAACTGCATTTAAAATCCAGAGTTTTACACAAACAACTCTCATTTTAAAAATGGCCAAATCCGGAGGATCGCGTTTAAATCAAACTGTTTTGATTTTTAAAAACTGTTAAAAACCAGGGTGAAGTTTTCTCGTAGCTTTTGGGTCTTTGCTGTAAAACGGAGGAAACGATGACTTCATTTTACTCACAGGAGCTGCAGGATGTGCTACAAGACCAAATCTTACGACGTTACTGTTAGAAATAATAAAATTATGAGCTGGGAATGACTCTCAGCCAGTTTAAATTCATACCTGTGATACTGGTCATTGAGTTACAGCAGGTTTTCTGTTTGCTGTGCTGTGGCAGCCATCTTGAAGAGTTTTTGAAACGTCAGAGTCTAATAAAACTTTTTGAGTTTTCAGCCTAACGACTTTACACTTTCCTGTTTTGTCCCTCAGAAACCACTCTGCTTCATCAGCTGATCCTGAAAATGCAAAATAAACATTGTTAAATCAGTGAGATGCACAGAAAACATCTCATTAGGAGGAATCTTTGTTTTCCCCTCAAATACTTTTACACAATTACAAAAAGCTGAGCTGTAGAAACGAGGGTCTTAGGGGAACGCTAAATAAATAATTAAACAGAAACCCCCCCTTAGCGTTAGCTTTTGGTATGACCCAGTTAGCGCTTCCTGTGTTTTAGCTGCTTTGGGTCGGGGACATTGTTCAGTTCAGCTGAGATCCTCCAGGCAGCAGGAAAGGAGCTGGAAAAGAACACTAAACTATTTATTATCTTCTTCAATCGTAAAACAAACCAAAAATAGCAGCAGAGCTTTGAAAAGAAACAAAAAGTAACTTTAAAATAAACGGACGTGTTGTTAAACTCTGTGAACCTTGAACAAACTTGTTTGGATGTTTCTGCTCTCAATCGGCCTGGGAGGAAGACTGAGGAAGATGAGCAGCTTGGAGGAAGACGAGGACAGAACAGGGTCTCCAGGATCCATCTGTTGGTCCACGAAGACAGACTTCTCCAAAGAATCTCCTCCAGACTTCAGCACAGAACCTGGACCTTCAGACATAAAGTAAGAAGCTGCTCCTGAGCTGAGCTCAAGTCGGCTCACAGCTGGAACATCTGCGTTTTAACGAGCCGTGAACAAATGAACCATCAGCCCGTCTCTCCACAGACCTGCTCCTCCTGTCCAAGAACTTGGACCCAAATACTGGGACCAGTCTGCTTCATCAGGACCCTCCTCATGTCCCCAGCGTGGAGAAAACTCCAGAACCAGATGTGGACTTCAGACAGACATCTGTTCAGACCCAGGTAAGACGTCAGCTGATGGACTCGGAGCGGAAAAGAAAACGTTTGTTGTTTGGACATAAAAAAGTTTGACTGTTCTTCTGCTGTTTCACCAGATGTTGGTCTGCAGGAGGTCTTAGAGGAACATCAGCTCAGTCTGAGGAGGAGGTGTGAACGTGTGACTGAAGGAAGTGATGAAACAGGAAGTAGAACCCTCCTGAACAGCATCTACACTGAGCTCTACATCACAGAGGGACAGAGTGAGGAGGTTAACACCCAGCATGAGGTGAGGCAGCTGGAGACGGCTTCCAGGAGACTCCAGGAGACTCCAATCAGGTGCCAGGACATCTTTAAAGCCCTGCCTGAGCAGCGTGGATCCATCAGAGTGGTTCTGACCAACGGCGTCGCTGGCGTTGGGAAAACCTTCTCGGTGCTGAAGTTCACTCTGGACTGGGCCGAGGGCTTGGAGAACCCAGATGTGAGCGCGGTGGTTCTGCTCTCGTTCAGGGAGCTGAACCTGGTCAGAGACGAGCGGCACAGTCTTCTCACGCTGCTCCATGTTTTCCATCCAACCTTACAGAAGCTCCCAGCAGAGAAGCTGGCTGTCTGGAAACTTCTCTTCATCTTCGATGGTCTGGATGAAAGCAGACTCCACCTGGATTTCACCAACACCCAGCCACTTTCTGACGTCACACAGAAGTCCTCGCTCAGCGTGCTGCTGACGAACCTCATCAAGGGGAACCTGCTGCCCTCGGCCCTGGTCTGGATCACCTCCAGACCTGCAGCAGCCAATCAGATCCCTCCTTCCTGTGTGGACAGGCTGACAGAAATACGAGGCTTCACCGACGCCCAGAAGGAGGAGTACTTCAGGAGGAGGTTCAGCGATGAAGAGCTGTCCAGCAGAATCATCTCCCACATCAAGACCTCCAGGAGCCTCCACATCATGTGTGGAATCCCAGTCTTCTGCTGGATCACTGCTACAGTTCTGGACCACATGTTGACCACAGAGCAGAGAGGAGAGCTGCCCAAGACCATGACTGACATGTACGTACACTTCCTGCTGGTTCAGACAACCAGGAAGAAGAACAAGTACCATGAGGGACCTGAGACCAGTCCACAGCAGCTGACAGGGGCTGACAGGGAAGTTCTTCTGAAGCTGGGGAGGCTGGCGTTTGAACATCTGGAGGAAGGAAACATCATGTTCTACCAAGAAGACCTGGAGCAGCGTGGTCTGGATGTCACAGAGGCCTCGGTGTACTCAGGAGTTTGTACGGAGATCTTGATCAGAGAGTGCGTGATCTTCCAGAAACCAGTCTACTGCTTTGTTCATCTGAGCGTTCAGGAGTTTCTGGCTGCCGTCTACATGTTCCATGCCTTCACCAGCTGGAACACAGAGGTCCTGGAGGACTTCATGAAAGACTACAACCACGAGGACGCCATCTGTGAAAGAATCTTGAAGTATCTTGGAATTGTTGGTCCTTCTGTCCCATCTTTGGACACCTTTTTGGTGAAAATCACAGAGAAATCCCTCAAAAGCAGAAACGGTCACCTGGACCTGTTTGTTCGTTTCCTTCACGGTCTTTCACTGGAGTCCAACCAGAAACTCCTCGGAGGCCTGCTGGGTCAGATGGAGAACAATCCAGAAACACTCCAGAGAGTCAGGAGCAACCTGAAGAAGATGAACACGAGCAAAGTTTCTCCTGACAGGAGCATCAACATCTTCCACTGTCTGCTGGAAATAAAGGACCTCTCTGTCCACCAGGAGATCCAAGAGTACCTGCAGTCCGAGAACACATCAGAGAAGAAGCTCTCCATGATCCACTGCTCAGCTCTGGCCTACATGCTGCAGATGTCAGCGGAGGTTCTGGACGAGCTGGACCTGAAAAAGTATAACACGTCAGCGGAGGGGCTGCTGAGGCTGATTCCAGCTGTGAGGAACTGCAGGAAGGCGTGGTGAGTCCATGATGGAGATGATCTTGGTCTTCCACAAGGTGGAGCAGATGCTCCTCTGCAGGAGCAGCTGTTGGTTCTAGATGAGCGCTCCTCACAGTGGAGTCCACTCAGAGAAACCTGGGCCGACCAGAGACCCAGCAGGTTCTGGGTCTTCATATTACCCAGCATGCCTTTCTTATTCCTCTGTTTCCATCATGGCCGCCCCCATAGAATGTTTCATGTCATCTCTAATCGGACCTCTGATGTTCAGGAGGATTCAGAGGGCCTGCAGGAAACAGGAAGAAGTTTGTAGCTGGAGTTTCAAAATAAAACTTAGAATCTTCAGAATAAGAGTATGACTCTGCCGTGGCGTAAAAGTATGTCCCAACTTGCTGTTGGGCTTTTTAGATAAAAGCTGATGGATGTTGGATGTTGGAGTGTTTTTATGACACTGGTTTATTTATAAACCTGTTTTTCTGTCATTTTAAGCGACTTGTTTTTATTTTTTATAATAATTCTTAAATTACAGTAATAATTTGTAAAACAGATTGGACTGTGAGAGCTGATGGTTGAACTTCCTGTCAGACATTTTTCTGTCAGCAGCCCAGAGAGGACAGGACTTCTCAAAAAGACTCAAGTCCCTCTTTGTGTCTCGACAGGCTCTCTGATTGTTGGCTCTCAGAGAGTCACTGCGACGTCGTGGCCTCGGCTCTGAAGTCCAACCCATCCCATCTGACACAACTGATCCTGAGCCACAACAACCTGCAGGACTCAGGACTGAAGATTCTGTCTGCTGGACTGGGGAGTCCAAACTGTAAACTGGAGAAGCTCAGGTGAGTTCAGTGACACAGCTGTGTTAGGAACAGACTTTCAGTGGACTCCAGGATCCACCATCATCTCGCTGCTGCACATTAGAACATCTGAACTGAAAAATAGAGAAGTTGCATTTCCTGTGAAAATGCAGTGTGGATGCTTATTGCAGAAGAACTTGCTGAAAAACAGCTGAAATTAGGTATAAAAAACATGCTGAAAAATGTAGCTGAAATGGAAGAACGAGCTTAAATTAGCAGAAGAAAACAGAAAGAACACATATTTGCTGAATTAGGTTTAAATAAGAAGAAATTAGCCCAAAAATTAGGAAATCAGCTAAAAAAAAAACAACTAAAATTGGCAACGAACATTTAAAAAATAACCGAAAAGGAAGAAAGAAGCTCAACCTATAAGAAGGGAGTGGAAAGAGCTGAAATGAGCTACAATAGTGTGGAATTAGCTGAAAAAGCTAAAATTAACATAAAACAGCTAAATAGTATCTGAAATAGCAGAAAAATCTGAAACTAGCTGAAAAAAGCTGAAAGGAGCATAAGAAGCTGAAATTAGCAGAAATAAGTTAATTAGGCTGAAAGTAGCAGGAATTGCTAAGAAAAACTTGAATTTATCTGAAAACAGCTGAAATTAGCTGAACATTTTCTAAAAAGTAGCTGAAACCGTAGAACAAGCTTAAATTAGAAGAAGAAAACTGAAAAAAAAACATGTTTGCACAGTTAGACTGAAAGAAACATAAATTGGCACAAAAATTAGAAATTGGCTGAAATTAGAAAAAAAAGCTGAAAAGTAGCTAAAAAAAAAAAAGGGCAGAAAGAAGCTGAAATTACCAGAAGGAAGTGGAGAGAGCACTTTTCTGCTGAATTAGGCTGAAAAAAGTTGTAATGAGTGCGAAAAATGTGGAATTAACTGAAAAGATAAAATTAGCATAAAACAGCTATATAGTAGCTGAAATTGTAGAAAAGGCTGAAACTTGCAGAAATCAGCTAAGTGGAGCATAACAAGCTGAAATTAGCAGGAAGAAGCACAAAAAGGTTGCAGTTAGCAAAAAGAATCTAAAAGGATCACAAAACAGCTGAAATTCACTGAAAATAGCTCAAAGTTTAAATTGGCAAAAGGAAGCTGAAAGAAGCTGAAGCAGAACAAAATGTGAAAGGAGCAGTAAAAGGTTGTAAACAGATCTCAAGATTTGAAGGATGTAAAATGAGCTCAATTCATTTTCTATGAGGAAAAAAAAAACAGGCAGAAAAAGCTAAATATTTCAAAAAGCTAAAGTTACACCAATACGAAGGGTTGTAGCAGGATTGTCCTGAACGAGCTGAATGTTTTGATTTATGATTTGTTGAAATAGATTAAAAACTGCAGGACAAGAATCACCCTGAAAAATGTACAGAAGAAAAATTATCACAATAATATTCACACAATAATCTGGTCTCCCTGCACTTTCTTTCTTCAGCCTGTGGGACTGCAGCTTCTCTGAGACCAGCTGTGCTTATCTGGTCTCTGCTCTGAGGTCCAACCCCTCCCACCTGAGAGAACTGGACCTGAGCTTCAACAACCTGCAGGACTCAGGGGTGCAGCAGCTCTGTGGTTTTCTGGAGAGTCCAGACTGTCAACTGGAGATCCTGAAGTCAGACTCTGTGTTTATATTCTCGAGTATTATCAGTAACTGATGTTTGGAGTGTCAGTGTTTTTTAGTGTTTAGGTTTTTTTTTGTCTTCTGGAATGAAAAGTTTTTTTCTTTGTGTAGTTTGTGGAGCTGCAGATTGTCTGAGACCAGCTGTTCTTACCTGGTCTCAGCTCTGAAGGCCAACCCCTCCCACCTGAAGTACCTGAACCTGAGCAATAACCACCTGCAGGACTCGGGAGTGGAGACCCTGTGTGTGTTTCTGAAGAGTCCAGAATGTGGAATGGAGACTCTGAGGTCAGAATCCAGATTTTAGATTTGTTCCGAGTTCAACCTGATGCGACCCCAAACTGATCCATACAGAGGATTTTCACAATAATCTTCTTCTGTGGTGTGATAGAACAGAAGTCAGACATTATGTCATTTACCTGTGAACTCTGACTCTAATTTTACCTGAAGCCAAGACTTTCACAGTAAAAGCAAACTTCAGTTATTTTCATAGTTTATTTTTTAACAACATTCAACTAAATATGTATTCTTTAAAGTCTTATTTTTTAAACCTTAATGTTTTTTTTTAATTCAGATTAGCAAAATGTGGATTATCTGAGGCCGTCTGTGGATCTCTGGTCTCGGCTCTGAAGTCCAACCCCTCCCACCTGAGGGAACTGAACCTGGGTTTTAATGACCTGCAGGACTCGGGGATGCAGAAGCTGTGTGGTTTTCTGGAGAGTCCAGACTGTCGACTGGAGACTCTGAGGTCAGACATCTTTTTATTTTATTTTATATTGATATTAATATGATGCAACACTAAAGGAGGTGATTTAAATGTAAATGTTGTGGCTTTCACAATAAAAGCACAGATGTGACTAAGTTATTTTAGTATAAATTTAAAATAGTTTGAAAACAGTTCAGTCTTTTAGTTTTGTTTTCTAAACCTGCTTGTTTTACCTCCACTCAGATTAAACAAATGCAGTTTGTTGGACCTCGGTCGTGCTTCTCTGGTCTCTGCTCTGAGGTCCAACCCCACCCACCTGAGAGAACTGATCCTGAGGAACAACAACCTGCAGGACTTGGGGGTGCAGCAGCTCTGTGGGTTTCTGGAGAGTCCAGGCTGTCAACTGGAGATCCTGAGGTCAGACACCAAGCTTTACAACCCCAGTAGGTTAAAAAACTAAAACAAAGAAACTCTTTTCTATTGTTTTAAAATAAAATAAAATCTGATTATTTAGAAATAGATGGATGTTTCAGGTCCATGTTTCCTCTGAGAAACATCTCCTCTTCTTCTAACAACAGTCTGTAAAAGTCTAGGGCCTGAGGCGACCAGTTAGAGGTTCTGGAGGACCTGAGGAGACCAGTTAGAGGTTCTGGAGGACCTGAGGAGACCAGTTAGAGGTTCTGGAGGACCTGAGAAGACCAGATAGAGGTTCTGGAGAGAATGTTGTCCTGGTCTGGTCTGATGGAGGACTCTAGCTGTCCTTCAGTCCTGGATCTTCTCTGCTGGATGGAGCAGATGTTCTAAAACCTGAAGATGTTTTCCTGCATTCATGAAGTCTTTCCAGATGTGTGAGCTGCTCATGTTGGAGGCACTAATGCACCCCTATACCATCAGGTGTCGCTTTGCCATTGATGAGTGCGAGTCCACTCGGCTCTCGTCGTATCAGTTCTTCTCAGGTGGAGGTGATTTGTCACTGTGACCTGTTTCTCTGCTCTGTGGGCGGGGTCATCAATGCAGAGTGGGTGGGGTTATAACAGATCATTGTGTTTGAGCCACTCCGATTTTTTGTGGTCCTTAATCACCCTATAGTCAGATGTTTCTTTAGCTTATCTCGGTGCTGTTTAAGTCCAGGTGTAGCCACGCAGCACCATCATCACCATCAAGTGAAGGTTCTGATGTAGTTTGGAGGTCATCCAGTGACGTAGCTCTGCTGACCAGTTTATGGCTGCTGCCTATGGATCTGGAGAAGGCTTGTCTGTGTTGTGTTCCCCCAAGTGTTTGGTAAGGGGGTGCTGCGTCCACTTTTTAGGATCCCTGTAGAACATAAACAAGATCTGAGTTCATGTCCTCGACTCAAAGTCCATCCCATTCCCGGTGCAAGCTAGACTCCACCAGGGCTGCCCCCAGGTCTCTGATCCTGTTTGAAGACCGTGTTAGATGGTCCAGTCATAGAGAGGAGGGAGGTCTGGGTTTCCCTCCTGAATCTGTGACCTCCACAACCTGACCGCAGACAGAAAAGAGTTATAGTTCAGCCTGAAACTCATGAAACATTTTTCAGACAGATCAGGGTTTTCAGTGCCTTGTTTTGTCTTCTAAACTCAAACTTTTCTTTCAGTTTGAGGAACTGCAGCTTGTCAGAGACCAGCTGTTCTTATCTGGTCTCAGCTCTGAGGTCCAACCCATCCCACCTGAGAGAACTGAACCTGAGTAACAACAACCTGCAGGACTCAGGAGTGAAACAGCTGTGTGGATTCCTGGAGAATCCAGACTGTCACCTGGAGACTCTGAGGTCAGACTCCAGGGGTTAGTTCAGTGTTGAGATGTGGATGGATGAATGAAGGATGGATGGATGGGATAGTGGATGGATGGATGGGATAATTGATGGATGGATGGATGGATGAATGAAGGATAGATAGATGGATGATTGAGGGATGGATGAAGGATGGATGGATGATTGAGTGATGTTAGGATGGATGGATAGGATAATGGATGGATGATGGAAGGATGGATGAGTAAATGGATGAATGAAGGAAGGATGGATGATGGATAAAGGGTGGATGATGGATGGATGGATGGATGGATGGATGGATGATGGATAAAGGGTGGATGATGTATGGATGGATGGATGGATGAATGATGGTTAATGGATGGATGAAGAACGGATGATTGTTAATGGATGGATGAAGGATGGATGGATAGATGATAGTAGATGGATGATTGATGGATGGATGATGGATAAAGGCTGAATGATTGATTGATGGATAATATATGGATGATGGATAATGGATGGATGATTGATGGATGATTGATGGATGGATATTGGATGAAGGCTGAATGATTGATTGATAGATAATAGATTGTTAATGGATGGATGGATGATGGATGGATGATTGATGAATGGATGAAGGATGGATACATGGATGCTGCAAGGATGAAATTGATGGATGGATGATGAAGGATGGATGATGGAGGATTGATGGGTGAAGGCTGGATGAGACAGATTTTCGTCTCCTGGTCCTCTCTCAGGACTTTCTGTGTAAACTCCGCCTCCTTCTCTCAGGCTGTCAGGCTGCGGACTGTCAGAGACCAGTTGTTCTTCTCTGGGCTCGGCTCTGAGGTTCAACCCCTCGCTCCTGAAGGAATTGGACCTGAGTGACAACAACCTGCAGGACTCGGTGCTGAAGCAGCTGTCTGACCTTGTGGAGAGTCCAGACTACACAATAAAAGTCCTGAGGTCAGCAGAAAAAGATGGCCGCCTTCTCTGCCGTGTGATTTCTGGGTAAAATGTGAGAAATTAACGGAAACTTTCAGGATCAGACAGGAAGGTCAAAACTGGAAAATCAATCATAATCTCGTGTTTAACCCTCAGGAGGAGTTCTAGAGAAAAGTCAGCCGTCCTTATTTTGTTTTTATTTATTTGGTGTTGCCAGTAAACACGACTAATCCTAAAAATCTTTTTTTTAAGTTTTTTAGTTTAGTCAGAATTTATCTGAACGCTCCTGTAACTTTACTGCCCTCTAGTGTTTCTCCAGGGTACAACAACCCTAATGAAACCCAGTGTAATTATCAGATCAGGATGCAGAGGTTTAAGTTCTGATCTGGACTTCCTGTTTGGGTTCAGGTCAGACTCACTTCCTGAGTTCTGATCTGGACTTCCTGTTTGGGTTCAGGTCAGACTCACTTCCTGCTTTTACAACAAATAAAAATACATCCTTTAAAAAGTTCAGATTTAGTTCTTTATGAATTCTTTATAGTTAATTTACATGTTTTGCCGTTCTAAAATGAAATTTATCAGTAGATGTATTTTTGACTCGTTGTCCATCAGCACCTGTTTAAATAATTTCTCTGAACAGGTGAAGCAGCAGACAGACCTTCAGCTGACGATCAAACTGCTGGACAGCCAAAGATGACGGGCTTCAGCTGCTGCTGCAGAAACATCTGGACTTTTTTATTCAGTGTGATTCCGATGTGTGTGTGGCACATCTTTACAACCCAACCGCTCCTGTGAACTTGTGCATATTTTAGGCGTTCATACGTGAAAACATTCGGCTCATTCAGCAGATGGCTATTGTGACTTTTGTAGCTGTTTATAGTTTTCAAAATAATATACTTTATTTACCATAAATATCCTGTAGAAATATTTTCAGCACCTTCAGGAAAATCAAGTTCAGCTGCTGGTTATGGTTTTTATTTGTATGCTACTTGTAGCTTTTAGCTACTGGTTTGATAGCTTTCACTCTCATCTTTTGTATTTATTTATCTAGAACAGGTAAAAACAGCCACGCAACAACAACAAAACATCAGTCGTTCAGTGTTCGCACTGCGTTTTACCAAGTTACACAAATTTAGATTTTTAGCTTCAATTCTACTTTTTTTACTGAGCGCCTCATTTTCAGCAGATTTCAGCGAAACTCGTGTTTGAGGTTTTTCATACATTTATACAGTTAAAAGTTATTTAACTTGTTTATTGTTTATTATTAAGTAAAGTTTGGTCAGCTGGAGGGAGTCATGTTCTCTGAAGGAGAGAGTTGAAGTAATAAATATATTTTAATTACATGAATTATACACAATACTACTGTATTTTGTTATGGATGGGTTTGTTTCTATGTCTGGTAACGGTGAGAGGATTCCTGTGAAAATATTGCGGGATACTGCTGCTTCCCAATCCTTTTGTTTTGGAGGGGATTTTAACATGTTGGTTTTGATGTTCCAGTTTGTGGTTTTTGTGTGCAAGACATTGGTGTTCCCTTGCACAAAGTTATGATCCAGTTTGAACTGTGGTCTGGTGATGATGTGGTTAGGATGCGCCCTACTTTTCCTAAAGTGGGCGTCTCCATGCTCATGGGAAATGATTTAGCTGGAGGTCGAGTATTGGTTACTCCTGACGTTACACCTGTCCCAGTATTGTACACAAGTCCAGATGAACAAGAGATCGTGTCAGAAGCGTCTCGCCTGGGCCAAAGACTGGACTGCTGCTGAGTGGTCCAAAGTTATGTTCTCTGATGAAAGTAAATGTTGCATTTCCTTTGGAAATCAAGGTCCCAGAGTCTGGAGGAAGAGAGGAGACACAGAATCCATGTCGCTTGAGGTCCAGTGTCAAGTTTCCAGTCAATGATGGTTTGGGGTGCCATGGCGTCTTCTGGTGTTGGTCCACTGTGTTTTCTGAGGTCCAAGGTCAACGCAGCCACCTACCAGTAAGTTTTAGAGCACTTCATGCTTCCTGCTGCTGACCAACTGTATGGAGATGCAGATTTAATTTTCCAACAGGACTTGGCACCTGCACACAGTGCTAAAGCTACTAGTACCTGGTTTAAGGACCAGTGTATCCCTGTTCTTAATTGGCCAGTAAACTCACCTGATCTTAATCCCATAGAAAATCTACGGGATATTGTGAAGAGGAAGATGTGATACTCCAGACCCAACAATTCAGAAGAGCTGAAGGCCACTATCAGAGCAAGCTGGCCTCTCATAACACCTGAGCAGTGCCACAGACTGATCCACTCCATGCCAC